TGCCTCTGATCGAGGTGGTGGGGGTCCATCTGGGGCGGGGCCGGCCAGGGGGACAGGATGCAGGAAGTTGGCTGGCCAGCCCTGGCCCCTATTGGGGTAGTGGGTGGCGATCAGGGTCGGGGCGGCCAGGGTCAGGGCCTGCAGGAGGTTGGCCAGCCAGCTTCACCTCCCGGTTTGCTGGCCATAGCAGGCATCATAGTGACTGGTTGTTCCAGTCATTACGGCATTCCAGTTGCTGGCTTTTCATATATATAGATTACTGAACTCACTATACTTCTAGTTTTCTAGATTTAAAATGTTGAAATCTCTGTTGACTTCCCTCATGCTTTACCATATGGTTTCAGTCACTGAATTCTGTCTGTTTTCTAGTACATCATTGTCTTTTCCATCTATTCCTTTCTTTCCATTACTTTTCAGGTCTAGGCTTTTAACAACTAATTGAACGGCAGCTATAACTAGCCACCTAACTTCTTTTTGCCTGCAGTTTTACTTTTTCTTTCTGTTCTTCTTGCACCATACTGCCACTCAGAATATCACTCCCTGTTGGTCTGGCCCTAGGTGTGCCTGATATCTCCCCTATATGGAAACTCATTGATTTGCTCAAGCCAGATCTATTTTCTGAGCATTTGCTGTACTTACCTGGCTGTATGTCTTAGAACATGACATTTTCTTTCTCTGGAATACTCCAACCCCCTTTTCCCCATCAATGCAAAACTTACCAATCTATTATGATTGATATCAAATCACTCTTATGTAAAATTATTCCTGATCACTGTGGCATATAGTATCCTCTTCCTTCTCTATGGTCATAGGTTTTCTTATGTGGATGACTTAGATGACATTTGTGTTATATATTCCCTTGTACAGATTATCACATAGTGTTGTTTCTTAATTGGATTATCTAATATTCTTGATTCATTCCCTATCTTTGCTATTTCATCATATGCTTTTTAAGGTGTGTGACCAAGCCTTGTATCTTTTTTTTGGTATTTGTATATTGCTTTGCACTTTAAATTATATGAAGTTATAGTTGAGAAATAAATCACTTTTGGTAAATTGATTTCTTTTTCATGAAGCTATCCTAGAGATTGAAGAGAAATTCTTTTTTAGTTTTTTTTTAATTTTATAGATTTTAGAGAGGAAGTGAGAGGGAGAGAGAGAGAAATATCAGTGATGAGAGAGAATCATTGATCAGCTGCCTCCTACTGGGGATTGAGTTGGCAACCTGGGAATGTGCCCTTGACCAGAATCGAACCTGGGACCCTTCATTCCGCAGGCCAACGCTTTATCCACTGAGCCAATCCAGCTATGGCTGAAGAGAAATTCTTAATCCAGTTGACCTGGATCCCAGAAAAAGAAAATAAATGTTAATCGATAAATCTGTCATTATTTCATAGTGTGTGACCATATATCCTTTACTTCCCACAAGGACAAGCTTTATTGTTTTTAATCTATTTTTTATGTGGAAGCTGTCACCTTTGATAATTTCATTACCTTTCCTGGCTGCAGTTTTTCTTCCTTGAGGTGCAAATCATTACTGCACTTAGTATAATAAGTGCAATTAGTTTAATGAGTATTGTAGCCCATAAAAAATCAATTTAGTTTGGGTTCTTTAATTTTGTCTTTGACTTACTGATAATTTCTGACAGTCTTATAAAGCTTTTTAAATGAACCCAAATGAGAAGGATTGGCAGAAAGCTGGAATTTCACAGTACCACCATTTTTTAGTTAAATTGAATTGGATATGGATTTGGGAGTATACTATTTAATACTGAGTAAAACTTGACAGAATTTTGTTTAAAGAAAATACTGTGGGTTGGTGTATATAAATTATTTTTAATTACTTCAGTTGTGTTTAAAATGAATTGCCTTACCAGTGTCTCTCAGTGGTTGGGCATCGACCCAGGAACCAAGAAGGTACCAGAGGTTCGATTCCTGGTCAGGGCACAAACCCAGGTTGATGGCTCGATCCCCAGTAGGGGGTATGCAGAAGGCAGCCAATTGATGTTGCTGTTTGTCTCTCATTGATGTTTCTACTGCTCTATCCCTCTTCCTTTCTAAAAATCAGTAAAAACATAGTTTAAAAATGGACTTTATTTATGTTAACTATTGAAAGCGATTATGAGGACATAATTTTTGCAAGGCATTATTTGACTGCTGGATTACACAAACTTTTATTTTTTTAATATATTTTATTGATTTTTTACAGAGAGGAAAGGAGAGGGATAGAGAGTTAGAAGCACTGATGAGAAAGAAACATTGATCAGCTGCCTCCTGCACACTCCCTACTGGGGATGTGCCTGCAACCAAGGTACATGCCCTTGACGGGAATCGAACCTGGGACCCTTCAGTCTGCAGGCCGACGCTCTATCCACTGATCCAAACCAGTCAGGGCTAAACTTTTAAAAGCTCCTAGATTCCCAGGGGTTTTGAGGGTTGACACATAAAGCAGTCATTATCTAAAACATAGGGTGAGAGGACAGCTATTTACCGAATACACTTCTCACAAGTAACTCCACCAGATTTATTTTATTCAGTACCTACCGTGATCACAGCATTGAGCTACACTCTGTCATCAACACCTTGAAGAGACACTCAAGGAACAGTGACAGGCTTTTTACACATATCTCAGATAGCTTATGCAAATTTCACCACCTTTAAGATGTCCTCCTTTAAAATGCAGCTACCGCCCTAGCTGCTTTGGCTCAGTGGATAGAGCATCAGCCTGCAGACTGAAGGATCCCGGATTCAATTCTAGTCAAGGACATATGCCTGGGAAGTGTTAGATCCCCAGCAGGGGACGTGCAGGATGCAGCTGATCAATGAGTCTCTTTCATCATTGATGTTTCTATCTCTCTTTTTCTCTCCTTTCCTCTCTGAAATCAATAAAAATATTTTTTAAAAAAATAAAATGCAGCTACCTATAGGAAAGATGAAATCATATTGGGCAGTGGGACGAATTTAGTTGGCAGCTAGATGAGTGCAATAATTTAATGTCAGAAAAGTCCCTCGGGATAAGGGTTGGGATGCAACAAGGGAGAGTGTCAGCAGGGAGGGGAGAGGGAGAGGCTCCCCAAAATATTGTCCTCTCACTTCCCACTTTCGTTCTGGTAGCCCTATGCATGATACCCCAAATCAGCTTTCTGATCTCTACTGTCACACATTCAGCACTGATGAAAAGACACATGAAGCTATGACAAAAGAGGGAAACAAGTTGTCCTCTAATATAGATAAGAGGCAGGGATTTTGACATTCATACATTCACAGAACTAGAAACAAGTGCGCACTGGTATTATATTTTTTTCTTTTTTATTGGCTTTATTGGGGTAACATTGGCTAATAAAATAATATAGCATTAAGATATCCAATTGTATAATACATCATCTGTATATTGTATTGTGTATTCACCACCCAAAGTCAAAGTCTCCTTAGTATTATATTTTGAAAAGCTGTGTTCTTCTGCCTCTGAGATTCGAGACTATTGCACATATATGCACACACTCCCTTTCTATTTGCAAGGCCAAAATTTACAAGTGTGAATGAGGCATCTAACCCTAATGTAGTACAATCTCACTTTCGGCTTTGACCTTTTCTATACCTCTTTTGTGTTTAATGTTTAGATTGTCAGAATGGTGAAGAATTTAAAAGGGAGCCCAATAACACTGTCGATAGGTGATGGTGCCAATGATGTTAGTATGATCTTGGAATCCCATGTGGGAATAGGTAAGAAACATCTAATGAGATGGCAGCTGTAAGGTATCAGTATTGCTTTTACGTAGAGTGGTCCTATATTCTAGAGATTTATTTTGGTTGCTCATCCTGAATTCAAATTTTGGTATAATAATTGTTAATTGAATGAAGGTTGTCATTTGACCATGCAATATGTCCATCCCAAAGTCCTATTTCTGGGGGGAATGTAGAAATACAAAGTTGAGAATTTTTTTATATGATCCAAGTAAAATGAATTTCCCAAACTTACTGGCAGCACAATTGATCTCACTTTGACATCATGAAGGAAATTTTATTGATTTTCCACTCCTGGCCAGATTGCCTTCTTATGTTGCTGCACTGTTTCTTTTGAGATACTTAACTGTTTGGTACTAAGAAATGATCATTGCTTGGCTGATTTTCCATATGGAGTTATTTATGGGTGGTTTGTGCTGTAGTGTTTAATTTATATGTTAGCATGTAAAAATGGCTTTTCTACAGCCTGTACCTTTTTTCCCCTTGTCAGGCTCTTGGTAGGCAACAATCCTAACACCCCAGCAAGTTGTTGTTGTTGTTGTTGTTGTTTTTGAAGGGGGAGAAACAATGGAATTAGTATCTTGGGAATTATTGTACTGCAGTTTGGATTCCCAAATTCTTTTCATTTGAAAGTAAGCATATGTTGTGTGGAACTCTTAGTTCTACTCAATGGTTATCCAGTGTGGAAATGGCCTAAAGCAGCTTGAGCTCAGAGAAACTTGGGCTACTACTGAGAGTTTCATGCAGTGAAAGAACTTCACTGTCTCATTGTAAGTTCTCAGTTTTGTCTCATTGTAAGTTTTCAGTTTTGAGCTCCTAGACCAGTGATGGTGAACCTGTGACACGCGTGTCAGAGGTGACACACGAACTCATTTTTTGTTGATTTTTCTTTGTTAAATGGCATTTAAATATCTAAAATAAATATCAAAAATATAAATCTTTGTTTTACTATGGTTGCAAATATCAAAAAATTTCTATATGTAACACGGCACCAGAGTTAAGTTAGGGTTTTTCAAAATGCTGACATGCCGAGCTCAAAAGGTTTGCCATCACTGTCCTAGACCATAAACCCCAGGTCTCTGATTTGCTTTAATATTGTACCCGGTCTAGTGCCATGCACAATTAAGCACTAAGTGGCTTTAAAGTAACTTTCAGATTTAATTTTTTCTCAGGATAATTTTGCCTTATAATGGTTAAATAATCTATTTAATTGTTGTATATTGTGTTATAAATAGGTAATTATCAATTACACTTAGTTTTACTACTTATTGGTAATTCTCATTGAGATTGTTAAAGAACGCACTTTTTGGTTAAAAAACACTAAGCTAAACTATACAACTGAGCTATAACACATAAGGAAGTTGAAAATACTAAGTCCAGGGTTTGTTTATTCTATAAAATACTCACCCTATAGAGATTTTCTTTTTTTAGGTATTAAAGGCAAAGAAGGTCGCCAAGCATCCAGAAATAGCGATTATTCTGTTCCAAAGTTTAAACATTTAAAGAAATTGCTATTGGGTCATGGACATCTATATTATGTGAGAATAGCACACCTTGTACAGTATTTCTTCTATAAGGTATGTGATCAAATATTTGCAATTTAATTTAAGACTCCTTAGTCCAGCTCAATTTAGTCATAGTGTTTTTCCTCCTCTTTCCTTGTTTCTTTTGCTGTCTTCATACTGAAATTTGTAGATAGCAAAACATCTATTTATGGTATTGGAAACCAGAAATTTCTTTTAATGCAAAAGATTTGAGATGAAATTTTAAGTCAACTTTCTTGGAGTATAGTTTAAATACAATAAAATGTACCCATTCATACTGCAGTAAACCCTCAAGTTTGCAAACCTCAATTTAACCTTCTGATTTAACAGACAAAATTTCCAGCCTGTATGTCATATGTGAAAATTAACACCCTTTTAATTTTAAAATGCTTTTAACCAAGAGTTGCTTATATTAAATTAACAGGATGTGTGTGTGTGTGTGTGTGTGTGTGTGTGTGTGTGTGTGTTTGTTAGTTAACTTATTTTTAACAATTTTTAGCGAATAAGCCATATGCTGGAAACAAACACTGTAGTCATTTTGCTGTCGTAAATATTACACATCTACAACTATAGTCTACATATTTAAATCTAAGAGTCATTGCCCCTAAACAATGTTTGATGAATGATTAGCACATGATCACACTGTATTGCAGGTGGTATTTGGTTATGGTGTGACTTTCTACAGCAGTTTTTTATTTTTTAATCCTCACCTGAGGATATTTTTTCCATTGTTTTTCATAGAAAGTGGGAGGGAAGGAGGGAGGGAAGGGGAGAGAGACAGAGACATTGTGGACTGGTTGCCTCCTGCAGATGCCCTGACCTGGGGGTGGGGAGTGAACCTGTAACCCAGGTATGTGCTCTTGACTGGATATCGAACACATTGCCCAGGCCAATGCTCTAACCACTTAACACACCAGCCAGGGCTCAGGGCTCTGCAGCATTTTTAATGTGTGCCAGAGATGTTCTGAAGTGTGCTAATCCATGCCTCAGCTGTGTGCATTTTACTTGTGATGAGTGGTGAATGCACACATTTACTAAAACTATTCAGTAGAAATTTGAAATTACTGTAATACTTACAGAAAACTTTTCTGTGAAATTAAACTTTTCTTTTTTAAAAAAATTAAATCTTTATTGTTCAGATTATTACAGTTGTTCCTCTTTTTCCCCCCATAGCTCCCCTCCACATGGTTCCCACCCCACCCTCTGCCCTTACCCCCCCACCACTGTCCTATCCATATGTGTATGATTTTTGTCCAGTCTCTTCCCGCCCCCCCCCAACCCCTTCCCCCCGAGAAAGAATAGTCAGTCCACTCCCTTTTGATGCTCCTGATTCTATTATATTCACCAGATTATTCTGTTCATCAGATTATTTATTCACTTGATTTTTAGATTCACTTGTTGATAGATGTGT